TTTTTTTTTTTGTTTTTATTTTTTAGACGCGTTATAACTCCTCTAAGGGACCGAGCAGCCGATCCTTGAAGCTTTACTAATCTACCAGAGCATTTGTAGATATATTTGACATCTATTGTTTAAAATAGATGGATTTTATTTGGGGCCCCAGGGAACTTTCTCCTCCCTGCAGGAATGTTACATATTGTATAGATTAAATGAGTGACATTTCATACTGTGTATATATAGAGATGTTCTATAAGTGTGAGAAAAGTATATGCTTTAATAGACTACTGTAATTATAAAATATTTTTAATTAAATATTTTTTTGTAAATATTATAAAGGTGTGTATGTTTTTTTTAAATCTGTGGGAATATCTCTAGAACACCACAGCTCAAGTGTGGAGCTGCTAATATGGAAATATCTTGAATGTTTAGGGCTCCTTTTGTCCCCAAATGTCCTTTAGATGCGGAAGTTACAGCTATAGCTTAGTGGTCCTGCATGATTGCATGAGATGTCTAATTGCAAATAAACTTGTTTGGAGTCCATACAAACGTGTTTTCCTCAATCTAGACTTAAAATGTTTGTAAGTGTATTATACATTTTGAGACTACACTTTTTGTCATGTAGGCACAGGGGTTTTTAGTGCATTCTATAAAAGTACCAGTAAGATGTAATGTTTTTTTACCAAGAATAGAAAAACAAATTCTATCTAGTTTTTGCATTACGGGGGCGATGCTTTAGATCTTTAATCAGCTTTTTTAAAAATCTGCTGTTGCATCAGATCAAGAAATTTGTGCTGGAACTTCATTTAGTACCAAAAGGTTTTATTGCAAACTTGCGTTCCTACAGCCTATTAATTGCTTAAAAAGTGAAAACAGTTCTCTGCTTGCAACCAAAGGGCAAATCATTAACAAAAACTGTTACTGTTTCCTTCGTCCAAAGAGTATTAATATTGAACTGCAGAAAGGCACATGGGCAAAGTCGTTGTGATCAGTGATGTAAATTCATCTTAAAATGAATTTAAGTAGACCAAAAAATCAGATAACTGCGTCAAGTTTATTTTTCTAGTACAAAATGATTTTCATTTCGCTGCAGTTATGTTACAGTTAAAATCCTGTTTAATCTCTGTGATGTGTAACTACTACATGTGAACATTAAACTAGATTTACCTGTCTTTAACTGTGATTCTTCAGCTTGTTTCTTCAATCCTCTGAATTTGCACTTTCTCTTCACTTTTTTTTTTTTTTCATACATACCATTCGATGGGCGAATTCATTTTGTGGCAGGCTTTTGTACAATCCAGTCTTACAGACTGTAAACTCCTGTCCAGGCTGAGTGAAAGATGCTCATTTTGTGTGATCAGTAGCTGGGCGAATTCATTTTGTGGCAGGCTTTTGTACAATCCAGTCTTACAGACTGTAAACTCCTGTCCAGGCTGAGTGAAAGATGCTCATTTTGTGTGATCAGTAGCCTGCACGCTAGTGAAATGGGATTTTCAGAGTGGGAGAATTAAGTAGGATTTAATTGGGTGCTTTGTAAATAGCTAGCCAACTGTGTGTGTAACATGGTCTGTTTGACTAAAAAAGAGAGGATTTGTTTCAGATTATACAAGTGTCAAAAGTACTATAACCCAAGGGACGGCTTCTATTAAGTTAAATATTTATAAGGAAATTAACTACTGGGGTCATTAGCTATTGACTACAGTGATAATGTCAACAAGATGAACATTTTCTTAACGAAAATAATTGCGTAAAGATCAAAAAGAGGCTAACACATCTGCAAACATAAGGCCTCCTGTCACTGCAAACGCGTTGGAGGCAGGAGCATTCCCTGACTCGAGGGATGGGGAGTGGGTCCCTGTGTTGTTTTCCCCCAGCTTGGATGTTCCAATAATAGTAGTTTAATGAGCAAAATACAAGTTCCTGTAAAATTAAGTCATGAACCTCACATCCTGCATCTCCAACTTGAGATCAAGGATGCCATCAATAAGATTTTTTTACTGCAGTTTGGGGATTCTTACACTGTGTTTGAAAAAAAAAAAGGAAAGCGGCATTTTTTCGAAGGCACGGCTTAAATTTATGTTCCTTTTCTCTGTTTATCCTATTAATATTTGTAGTCCTCCCCTTACTTTAGCTTGTATGGCTGAGCTTATTTTGTATACAGCTTTTCAGTAACATTAGTTCTCAATACCCTCGTTTTGTTTCTACCCGCTGTTGCCAAATTGCAGTGTTCTGTTACAGAAGAGGAAGCCAGCAAAAGGTGCTGTCTTAAAATATGAAACCACCTTGTAGAGTTTCTACATATCAAAGCTGGTGTATCCTGGGGGAGCTGATAAATCACTAAGCTACTCTTCAGGGGAGAGGGTACCAAACCCCGGATGGTTTCAGGTCAGGGCGATCTCCTGTAGAGTTCAGCGGCTTGAGGATTTGGGTTTGCTTTTTAAAAAACTTGCGGTGCAACAAGTTAGAACCTTTGGAAAACGAAGTCTTACTGAAGAGCTATGACAATTTTTCCTGTTACACAGTATTCCTGATAAATGTGGGAGCCTGCTTACAACACTCAGAAAATCTCTACCAGGGCAAAGTAGATGCTTTTCTTGATTTATTCCTTATGCTATGTAGGAAACTGGAAGCAAGGAGTATCTAATCGCTTGCTTCCTAATGGCTGGAATCAGTACACTCCGAAATACAGCTGTACTTATTTTTGTTTTTCAAAGATTTTAGAGTCTTTCATCATATTTTAATCCCATATCTCGCTTAAATCATGTTTTCCATATAGCAAAAGACGTAAATGTTTGAACAAAGGCAAATTAAAAGGACTCTTTCTTCTAATGCCTTGGATTTTCTCTTAGTCACAAAAGCATTCCTTAAAAGGAGCTTTTTGATTGCGTGATGAGAGTTGTGGTAAAACTGCCAGATTAGGAATTAGGATACCAAATTCTGTTCCCAGCTCTGCTACCGAGGCTCTTTTGTGACCTTGAGCGAGTCACCGGCTGTCAAACAAACTTCCAGTTTTCCAATCGTAACGTGCCGATGGGGACACGTACTCAGAGATGAGTGATGAAGCGGGGAGATGAAGCAGGCGAAACGCATCCACGTTTTTTCACTTGGTCTTTCTTTTGGGGATTATGTTTTGGGTAAGAAACAAAGGGCAGGGAAAGCTGGGGTGATTATCCCGAAAGCCTTCGGAAGGAGGAGCCAGTTGGGAAACACGTTGCTAGTAGAGGCTGGGAGGACTCTTGCTTGGGACACTGACATTGTAAAGGACTAGAATACGGTCTGGAGGAGGAGTAGATGAGGACCCTAGGTCTTTTCTGTCCCCAACTCGTGTGCTGCCTGCGGGGCGCAGCAATAGGTACTGCTGGTGCTGCCTGTGCAGGGAGCTGCGGTGTGTGCTGAGGTCTCGCTCCTCGCAGATGCCACGAGTCCCTGCAGCGATAAATACTGCTGGTGCTGCCTGTGCTGTGCGGTGAGCTGCGGTGTGTGCCGGGGTCTCGCTCCTCGCAGATGCCACGAGTCCCCTCTCAAATTTCCAAATGACAGGAGATATTCCTTCCACCTAAAAGCCAAATTCCTGTCCTTGCGCTGATGCCTGCGTTTTCCCCCCCGCTGTTTCACACGGGAATGGCATTTATTTTCACTTTCTAAACCACGTAGTGTGGCTTTTGAGCAGCTCTTGGCGTTTTCAGCCACAAGCGAAGCGGTCATAAGGAATGCCATAGCTGTCCTGCAGGTTGT